TAAGTATTAGCCAATATTCCTCCTTCGAAAATAGGCATTTATATTGTATTGAAAATATAGTAATTGAATCTAACTCTTCTTAAGAACTTTCAGAAAAATTATAAATAATAATTTATACGCTTAATTTATGTACACATTTATATGCTTAAATGCATATTTTACATACTTAAATTAAAACTTTAACAATGTAATGCTCTCAGCAATTAAATGAATTTCTCAGATTTGAAATTTATCAAGGCAAAATTCAACCTGATAACATACCAAACCTTTAAAGGATTAGCAAAATTATCTTTGTACAGCATATGCAATTAATTGATTATATTAAAAGAACGTAGTAGGAAAAAAAACCTAGTAATGAAAAAAACTTAGTACGGAGTAAAAAAAAAAACCTTTACCTCTTTAACTCTAACAAGTAGAAGTATACAAATTAAATTTCTCCTTCACTAGCCTTAAAAAATTAAAACCAGTTTTAAATTTGCAAAGTGCATCTTTTATAGTGACAAAGTAGCTAATGTAAATACTTTCTCAATCAGAGATTATGCAAATTTTAAATTAAAATTTTAATTCATTAATTTTTAAGCATTTTTAGTTTTCTTATAATGTTATCTAATAAAGAGGGTGGGACAAAGAAAAAACATTGTTGGTGAAGGAGTGCAAAGATAGAGGCAAAATGTTGTCTTAACATGTTTAATTATTTTAATTTTGTAATTAAAAACTTTGATGATGTTGAAATGTTGTTTCTAGAGTGTCTGCAAGTGCATTAACATTGGTTTCATCACTGTAATAAAACTGGTGATCCTATAAAGTGGGGGAATAGGTGTATGATTTTTTGTTACGTGAAATATAACACAGGAAAATTTCTTCTACTAGAAAATTGCTAAAAAGTTAGTCCATTTCTTTTGCTTAAATTTATAGGTGTGACGTTTGATTTGGTTGTAAGGCATTGTATTGTCCTTTAATAGCTATATCACATGTACTTTGAAAGCGTTTACCGTATTCTGCAACACAGTTATATATTTTGTCAGGTGTAACATGGTAGACTGATAAGAGATTTGCATACACAGTTTTGTTTGGACGAAATGACTGTATCATTAATTGCTTTCGTAAAAAATTCAATTGATTTTTAAGTTCCTGAACGTTGTTAATTTTTGGATTTCCTTTGATTGTAGACTCGATAACATATGCGATATATATGTGATTTTTTTCCAGTTCGTGTTGTTAGTTAGATGAAAGTGATAAAAGCTCTTGAATGGAATAGTTATATGAGATACGCTTCAGAGGTAAAAGTCAATTGCAGAAGCATTTTAATGGTAACGAGTGGCTTTGAAGTGGTGTTAGTGGTAGCGCAATGCTTAAATTTTACGAAATGAGAAATTTCGCTACCTCTGCGATTAGAACGACTCGGATTCCATTTAGGATGTTTGAGATTGAAATTGCTGTCTATGACAGCGTATGGAATAATTTTCAGAAGACCAGTCAGTGCTGCATAATCAGTAATATTACTAGGTATCGTATAAATGTTTGCTAAAGTAATATCTCTCTTGTCTATTTAGAGAGTAATAAGTGTGCTTTCAAAAGAATGTGTGTTGTAATTATTCCAATAGTGAGGAATGCTTTTATGAACATAAAAAGTATTTAAAAAGTTAAGAATAAAGTTAATAATAAGAAAAAAGTTGTATAAGCTATCTTACAAAGGAAATTAAACACTCATATGAAGTTCTAAGAAAAGATTAAAAATGAAAACAGATAAAAGCCAACGCTGAAATCAGGAATTATGAACATATGCTGCTTTTAAATATTATGTGATTCTGGTGTTGAATTTTATGTCGCATAAGAGTGAATAATACCATGATTACTGATATAACTAAAACGCTGCTAATACACTTTCTCTTTTAAAAGAAATTAAGAAAAGGAATATGTATTAAGCAGGAGTGAGTCAGAGAGTCGATTAGTAAACTGTGATCTCAGTTAAAGCATAAAAAAATCTCAACAATAATTATAACTTTTAATGCTTTCATCATCTTGCGCTAAGAAATAAGTTTGTATCGTACGTACTGAACCTACCTGTCGGAGCGACATTAAGTAATTGTAAAACACTTTTCGTTTGCATTGTTCATATATTATTAATAAGCAGCTATTAGAAATCTAAAAGAAATTAGAAGTGGCTGAGATCATTATTTATTATAAATAGTAATCTCTTATGGTTTGGAGAAAAATTATTTTAAAATCGTCTTTATTCAGATAATAATTGAAGCAAACAAGTTATTAGGTAAAACCAGAAAATAATTAATTCAGATATATTTTCTACAAATATTTCAACTCTAAACATTAAGACTTATATAAGTAACAGAATGCTAGTCGATAGCATAAAATCCAAACGAAATTTATAGTTCTTTGCCGATTTCCTTTCTGCAGCAGCTACGTCATAATCCCTCCTCCTAGGGAAAACTTATTTGAAGTTACAACTTTTGAAGATAAAGTCCCTGGCAAAGGATTTACAGAGTCAACAGAAATTACCTTAATTTGCGGTATACTTCTGTTTGAGTTGTTGCCCTTGTATTCGATTTCTTCTGAAGGATTTTCCCATGTCGTTGCGAATTTAAAGCCGCACTCAGTGCTCCGCAAATAATCTCTGGGAAAAGGGGTTTTCTCTGAGTGCTAACTAATGAGTGTCTATGTCAGTAGAGCGCCCGCTTGGGGAATTGCTGTCTTCGGAAGTGTTTGTGGGACTTTCTGTCTGGAAGTACGGAATGTGTAAAGTTAGAGTTCTAAACTGGGGGTTCTCTTTCCCGAGTAGGAATAAATGGAGTTCAGATACGCTTTGATAAAATATCACAGAAGCTCTGCATTCCGTTTTCTGAAGTGATTAGTGAAGCGTTTACTGTGTTTATTCAGTTCGAGAGATTTCACTTAAATCCCACATCGCTTTCTATTAACAATAAAGGTACAATGTGTGATATTCATTGATAGACGTGTTACTGAAAGAATATGAATGTGATTAATACCCCGGAGCTTATATTCCATGTAAAGAAATAATTTTATAAATGATGCAATTAACTTCCCATTAATGACGATTTATTAAAAAAAATGAAAAGTCTTTTTTTGAGGAAAATTGGATATGTTGCTATCATAAATTATCAGTGCAAAGTGTTTGTCCTTATTGTGTTGTGACTTATCTTACGTGTCTGACAATAACATCAAAACAAGCCTACGAAATACATCCTGGCAAGGTGAGGACGATCGCGCCTGTCGTTGCAAAGCCTTGAGCACCATACAGGCGACAGTACGACTTCGTTCATTTCCGCCCCCCCCAGTTTTGGAGAAGAGTACACTGTGAGGGAGATGGGGCGGAGAGTCTCCTACCTCTTCTTCTGCCATTAACCTCTTGAGAGAAATTTCAGCTCGCCGCATATTTAGAATGTCCCCATGCCGCACTTCACTATGCATATACGAACATCTATTCCTTCTCCGGATTTCGAACTTGTGCCCTTCGGTATTGCAGTAGGCTTTCCTAACAATTGTACCATCAGTGCAAACTAAATGTGTTTACAAAAAAAGGAAAAAAAACAGCAACAGGTAAAATATTAACGTCTACCAGCTGCACTCTGCCAAAATGAAATTTTAAAGAAAGTAAAACGTTAGAGAAACGCAAAATGTTAAAATTTTCGCTATTAATAACCTTATTATTTTCCTAATAAAGCTCATTGTAAAGTCAAAATACTTTTAAAGAAATTACACATTATTTTTACTATGCTAAATTAAAAATTTTAACCTGTACCAGGAAACAGGCACTGAAATAATAAGCGATAAAAGCAAATCTGATGCTTGTCGAAATTTACATAAAGTGGCACAAATTAATTAAAAAAGAACGCTGAAGACTGAAACTTAAAGTGTTATAAAAGAAATCATGTATGAACACATATTAATCATTTGTCATGCATAATGCTTACATTTGGATTTTGAAATAAATGAACGGCTACATTTCACCACCATCAGTTTCAGACAAAAGTCAAGAGAAACTATTGCCCCTAGTACAGCATTCATACCTGCCATCACATCTTTATCACAGTTATCAGAGGTATAGACTTTCAGAAATGGGGGAAAAGCCAGAATTCGTCTGAAAAGCTTTACCAAAACAAAGCCTTTAGAGATAGAACTTATGTTTTCGTAAATTGTTACAGGCATTAAAACTACCCAAAACCCCTTGCCGATAACTATACGACACATAACGACCAGATAAAGAGCCACAGTCTCATATCCAAGAGCCAGGATAAAATTGTGCAACAAGCATTACTCAAATAACGAGAGGCAAAATTCAAAATTGCTTGGAACGAGAAAGCACAAAAACGGCTATACTCAAAATCGAAATCAAGTGTTTGGAAAACATGCGAGGCTATTTTCAGCATTTAATGCTGAACGACAATTATTCAGTGCTGGATAAGTTTCAGCGCTACTAAACAACGCACTGCTAAATATTTGAAGTTTTGTTATTATTCCAACAAATTTGATTAATGTATGATGTAGTATTTCCTTCGGATGATAATTTTCTTTTGATTTCTCTATAAACAGAATATTTCATGCATTTTTCAACTAATTAACATCAACACTGAACAGTAAAAGTATTGAGTTCCCTGTGTTTGCTTTGACAAGATAACATCGATAATAACTCATCAAAAGTTTATCGTGACATATCATTGGTGAATTAAAACAACGGATGAAGGTTGCACATGTTGTTTGGATATTTGATTGTAAATTATTTTTCGATTCTTCAAAGAATCCGTATTTAAGAGTATTCTTAAGAAACTGCTTCGCAATGAAAATATTGAAATTGAAAAAGTGTTTTTCATAAATTGCATATTTACTTCGTACATTCATATTGTTAGAACAGCGTATTATCCACAGAAACTTGGCATATTCATACACAGATCTGAAGGAGTAAACGAATTTTCGAAATATACATGTGGAACAGTTATAAGAAAATCGGAACAAAATTAAGGAACTTAATTTAATAATAGTTTTATTTGAATCTAGACATAAATTTTGCAAAGAATATCGATTTCACAATCGTTTGTTAAATTAGCGAATGTCAGGTGTTCTTTGGATTTCACTGTACAGTGAAGTCTATTCTTGAATTTTATACTGGCACACTAGCTTGCCCAGCAATAGAATCAAGAATGTCTCGAAACGAAGCATCCTTTATCTGGCTATATTGTTCTGCAGACCCTGCGAATATAAAATATCAATCATTAAATTAACAGTACGTAATGCGATGATGAAGGAAATTCAAAGTGTGATGAAATTATAATAAAGTAACACATTCAAACACAAAAATTGGGAAGTAAATTATTGTCTCGCTTGCCTCATCTAATCAGAGCAAGTCCACTAATTTTATCATGGCAAGTAGCGGAAGTTTGCGTCTATCTTTAGAATGGGCCTTGAGCACTATGACTTTGCAGTTGACACTATGACTTTGCCTAAGTTTGACCATACGTTTTGAAGAGTATTTCAGAGAACAGGTCCATATATCTACCCCCTTCCACTCTTACTGCCAATCCACGTTAAGGTACGAAAACTTGATGGCCGAATCATTTTTAAAAAGCCTGCTTCCTGCATCCAAAATCGGGACATATAAAGAAATTCATTGTGCGCTATTAAATTATTAAACACCATAAAATGTCGAGTAATAATAAAATAAATAATGTTGAAGTTAATAACTAACAATAATTATTAGCACACCTGTACGGGTTCTAAACTACCCTAAATGCCAGCTCCTAAACGATAGGCAGAGGTCTCATCTCCCTTAACATCTGAACCTTTTCCCTCTGAACTATAATTAATACAATCTCATATGAACATATGTAATTGTAAATAACTGTTTATTAACTGTTCAGCTTGATTTTACGCAAACTCTACAGTAAGATATACTTAATAGCTGTTGCCTAGCAGAAAACGTAAAATTAATTTTCCAGTCAAAATAAAGTATTAAAGCTTTGGAAAAGCGCAAATTATTCGCGAAGAAAATGAGTTACTTACTTAATATTAGAGTAGGAATAATCAAATTTTTAGAATATGGCAAAATATGGCAACTTTGGGTATAAAATTCTTCAGTCAAAGCATGCATCCTTCATGAAAGCAACATAGCCAGTTTAGTATGCGTTCTTTTTGTTGCATTCCAAGATCTAATGAATATTATAGATAAATCGCGATGTTTTTTTTTACATAAAATCAATTTTATATCACCTCTAAATATAACAGCAATAGGAAGAATCGCGGGAAATGTACAAATGAAAAAAAAATTATAATTCAAAACTCTAAATTAAAAAAAAATAAAATTAATAAGGGGAGAAAGCAAAGCAATTAATTACGAAGTGTAATGCATACATGTATCTATATCTCTCTATCAATGTTTCTCTCTGCATACACACACGCACACACACACATATATATATATATCTATATGTACAATCATTACGTAAAAGAACATAAAGTAATTACTTAACATCTAGCATACAATTTAACACAATTTCCTCTTAATTAGGACCACAATTAAGCAAATTTAAGTACATAAAAGATGAATAATATATTTTATCACATTTTAAATAACGCAAAAATCTAATAATTATACTTACATAATTAAAAAAAAATTTTTGTAAGTAATTGATATAAGCATATATGTAAAATAATAAAATGACGTACAATTACTATACTTTCCGCCAAACATTTTATTAATATTCATACTAACAGAACTCTATCAATTACAGAAGTCATAAAACATTTATTTTTAGTGGTGAAAACTAGGAAATAGCTCAACTGTGTTGAAGCTCACAATCCGTTGGTTAACGGAAAATTTAAGCACTTCAGTAAAAGAGATCGAGTTAACTAGACCTAGATCAAATGCTGAAAAATCACTAACAAAAATCGGAAATATAATCTAATGCAAACAAACGATACGTTTTAATTTTCTTGTAAGACTTCTGGCATCATATGGATATAGTAATGTCTTTAAAAAGGAAACTATACTCCAGGAGGTTTAGTTAATGCTAAAAACGAAGCAAAGATGTGCATCGCTCTATAGCTTACAATAGGAAATCAGTTTTATCAAGGTATGGTAATATTCTATTTATAAAGAAATCAAAAGAGAATTATTATTCAAAGGAAATACCGCATCATAAATTAATAAAACTTGCTAGAAATAATAACAAAACATCAAACATTTCGCGTCACGTTGTTCAGTAAACTGAAGGCTGAGAGTAGCCAAACTATTTTTCGGACGCGTGATTTCGATTTACAGTTCCTTTGCTTGGCGTCAAATATGTTTCTGGCGGCAATCTATTCCATCATGGGCAATGATCATCGCAATCGACTCGTATGCCGGAGCAGCAGACATGTACTTCGTTTAAAGAGTTATGCTTCCCTGTGTAGACCGCCTGGCGTTGAAGCCGCATACAAACAGAGGTAATTGTTCGGAGATATGTCTCCTTGTGTAGACAGGAATTTATACTATTAAAATCTATGCGGATCTGCCTATTTTTTTTTTCATTATCTCCTGCAGTACGACGGAGAGTTGAATGTTGTTAGATGTGCCCCGCAGACTACATTCGTGGTAAGCGATTTCGACCATTCTCAACTTGGTACAAATTTAATCACCCGAGATATTAATCAAAAACTCCGAAAAAGCTAACTTCTGCCCTAATTTTTTCCGAGGGAGAATGTCACGCACCCTGGAGATGAAAATCTGCTTTATTTCCAACAATACAACGATGTTTAATAATTGTTTACTTACAAATGTGTATTTTTCTATATGTCTCATAATAAAACATAATAAAATAAATACAAAATAAGGGGTCGTCATCATTATAAATTACCCAAGTTTTTTTCCTTCTTAGGAAATTTACGTATTTTTCTTTCCAGTTTTCTATTTTTGGTTCAAGTCAAAATTTTGTTATTTAGTAGTTATTTTAATATATCATAAATATTTTAATAAATTTCAGTCTAAAACGTTTCATATTTAGTTGTCAATATTCTTACATTATAAGGTATTTCTCCCAATTCCCTAGCGTGCCTTCGTGGTATAACGGTAGCACGCTGGGCCAGTATTCCAGAGGTCGTGGTTCGATTCCCGGCGAATACGATTGCTAATTTTTAATCTCTCTGGCTACAAAAAAATTCTAATGTCTCTACAACACTACAATGAAAAAACCTTCCTTTTTAATAGGGAATGATTCAAAATTTCAATCAATCTAGAACTGAATTCTTGTGTTACCAGATATATAACAAAACTTGTATTAGAGAACACACTCAAGTTACTTGGATCAAAGATTCCTGTATGATACACTATAATCTCCTAAGATAAGCTTCTTGCACTGCTTCCTTTTCTAAGAAGTGAGTTTTGTTTAGAACTTAGAAAAATGTGCAGGCAACGATAAAATAAAAGTAAAGTGGTTTTCCTCGATAAATAGCCTAAATCCTTATAAATATTAGACCTAGTTATCTTTCAATAAAAATATTTAAATGCGTTATGGGCAATAAATGCTATCATACAAATGTTTTTCGGGTGTCATAAAAAATTTTCGTATCGTCTTGGGCAGAAGTAAAAAATATCGAAAATTAAGAATTTATTACGCTTTAAAAATCGATTTATTATTTTATGAATATTTTCTTATGTATTTATTATTAATTTTAATAGTATCCAACCTCAAAATATGGCTAATTAAGTTAAAGAACATATATGCGAAGTTAAATCCATCGGCGAATAATCACGCAACAAAAAATTCTCTTGCGAAAAATGGATTTAAAGTTTCCTATTACTATTATTTTCATATTTAATAGTGGCATCAGTATATTGGTTAATATGATTCAGAAAGGAGAAGAGGGAAAACCTGCAATGGGAAAAGAAAATGGAAGTGAAAAAAATATGTGTGACGTGGACGCACTCGGCTCAACAATGTTTGCGTTTAAAAAAAACATGCTTTCAAAAACAAAATTAATTAAAACCATTTTGTGATAAATCATTAGGCTATCAAAAAATTTTTATTTTCTCCTAGCAATCAACTAGTTAACATCAACACTAAACAGTAAAATGTATTGAGTTCCCTGTGTGCTTTGACAAGATAACATCGATAATAACACATCAAAAGTTTTTCGAGACATATCATTGGTGAATTAAAACAAGGGTTGAACGTTGTTCATGTTGTTTGGTCATTTGAATGTAAAGTATTATTCGATTCTTTAAAGAATCGGTATTTACGAGTATTCTTAAGAAACTGCTTCGCAATGAAAATATTGAAATTGGAAAAGTATTGTTCATAAATCGCATGATTACTTCATACATTCATATTGTTAGAACAGCGCATTATCGACAAAACCTTGGTTTATTCATATACAGATCTGAAGGAATAAAAGAATTTTCGAAATGTACAAGTGGAACATTTATAAGAAAATAGGAACAAAATTAATATTACTAAAACATAGTCTTATCATTAAATATCATTAAAATAAAAATACTTCCTTCACTCATCCCAGATACCGAGCAATCCAGAAAAACTAAAGACAAAACTTGCTCACTTACCTGGGTAGTGTGATGTTGAATCTGTAATAAAAACTCTAAGAAGTTGATTTATCTAATTATATTCTCTCTATGCTACAAAATATATACATTTTTTAACAATTGTCGGGAAATTTATCTGGCCCCGAAAGTTATTACACACATCTTAATCAGTTCACGTCACGAGGTCGAAAGGGAAAAAACCCTTTTTTTCTTTTTCTTCCTACTTCAATGACAGCCAACGCCATCTGTGTCTCGTACATCATCAAATGAAGAGATTTGTTTTTAATATTTGTTAGATAAGCTAATCAGTTTCACAACACTCCCACCTTTTTGATTTTCAGAAGGCAAAATCAAAAATCAAATAATGGTATCCTTAGTACAGGAACACACTTCTAGAGGGTACAGTTTACGTACAGGACGAATCAGTATGCCATTTCTAGTTTTCACTTTTACAACTCTTACACGTCCATCTCTGCTTGTACAAAGTTCTTGGACACGAGCAATTGGCCAGTTCACTCTTTTAAGGTTCTCACAACCTATTAGCACGATGTCTCCAACTTTTAATTCACAGTCCGTCTGTCCATGCTTTTGTACTAACTGTCCAAGGTACTCCTTGCGGAAACGGCTACGAAATTGTTCTCGAAGTTCCTGGCAGAAACGCTGACGAGCCAAGAGTTTATTTCGATCTAAAGCATCCAAATCTGCTGTACCTGAAACCTTAATGTCCTGTAAGAACATGGAAGGCGTTAATGGTAGAAGATCCTCAGAGTCATTTGACACATAAGTAAGTGGTCGACAGTTTATTACGGCTTCCACATCACAGATGACGGTGAGTAACTCTTCGTAATTGACTGCAGCTTGTCCTAAGACTCTCACAATCAAATTCTTGGCTGTGCGGATTAGAGACGCTCCCACCATCCGCCCCACCAAGCAGCAGTGGGCGGAATGAACTTCCAAGTGATGGGATGCAAAGTTTCCTGAGCAATTACCTTTACCCAGTCAACCTTTTTCAGCAATGCAGATGTACCGACGAAATTTGTGCCGTTGTCTGAATAAACTGTAGATGGCCGACCTCTTCTGGCTATGAACCGACGAAACGCTTGAATGAAGCATTCGGTACTTACGGATGTCACTAGTTCCAAATGTACACATCTATATACAGCACACGTAAACAGTACTACCCAGGTTTTGTTTTTATTTTTGAGAATCAGAGGGCCACATAAATCTATGCCGGTAACTTCAAATGCGAAAGCATCTCGAACTCTGTCTAATGGTAATTGAATGGGTGCAGTAGTTGGAGGTTTTGCTGAAAATCGTTTACAACGGACGCACTGTTTCACCACCGATCTAATTCGGCGTCTTGCACCAATGATCCAGAATTCTTCTCTAATTATAACAGTTAATGCTTGTACGCCGGCATGAGAATGCTTTAAATGGTAATCTCTAATTAAACAGTCAACAATATAATGCTTAGAAGGTAATAAAATCGGGTACCGGAATGCATAAGAATCATCTCGTTCGGTGATTTTCGTTTTTACTCTTCTTAAGCCACTCTGATCTCGTACGGTCAAAAGACCATTGATGGAGTCTCCAGTCTCTGGAAAACTCTCCCCCCTGAACAAGTGAAAGAAGTATAATTTTAGATTCCTTTATCTCGGAAGCAGACAGAAAAGGCTCTTTATTTACAATTTTCTTTTGACAATTTTTGATAAATCTCTTTATCCAACCTAAAACTCTTAACATTTTTGAAAATTTAGAGAACTTCTCACACCACTTAACTTTATCCGCTTTTGTAGTTATACTAAGATTTACATTTAAATTTATGCCTTTCCTGCGCTCTGAAAAAAAACTAAAGTTTCATTTGGCTTAACCTCTAATTTTGGCCAGCTATCTCTAGGGTCTTTGAGCCAAACAGGCCCTCTCCACCAATTTAATTCGAAAAACTGAAGAGGGGAACAACCACGAGAAGGTAAATCAGCTGGGTTAGAATGACCCTGTACATATGACCACTGATTTGCTTTAGTGAAAGCGCAAATTTCCTTCACGCGATTGCCCACAAAAGTCCCCCACGCATCATTTCTTTGAATCCAAGATATGGCCGTGGTGGAATCGGTCCAAAAATATTTTCGGGATGTCATCCTAATGTAAGAGCTTCTGTCACATATTTGGAAAGACGCACGCCCAAAAGACAGGCCATAAGTTCTAGACGGGGAATAGTAAGTTCTTTTAAGGGTGCGACTCTTGACTTAGCCATTACAAAACTGACTAATGTTTCTTCTTTAGTTTCGCATCTCAAAAATATTACCGTGGCATAAGCATGCTGGCTAGCATCACAAAATACATGAAGTGTCCAGGAACTTCTTCTATCTCCAAAACCTATACGTCGCGGTATTCTCAACTTATTCAAAATTTGTAATTTATTATACCACCTCGAAAATTTACTTTTGATACTATCTGGTAATGGAGTATCCCAGTCTGCTTTTATCGCCCAAATTTCCTGTAGCAGTAACTTTGCAGGCAATAAAACAGGTGTCAAGAAACCCAAAGGATCAAACATTGTCTGCGTTACTGACAAAACCTCTCTTTTAGACAAATTATCCGAAACCAATACAGTCTTAATTTCAATATAAAGGTTATCTTCTATTCTGTCCCACATAATTCCTAAAACTGGTACAGAATTCTCCATTGTGGACTCAGTGCACAAAGTACTTTGGGTTAGTTCCACATCTTTTTCTACTGGGCCATAGGTCCACATACGTAAGTCCATTTTTGCTTCAGCTAATATTTCAGTAGAAGATTTCACAAAATTCACAAGCTCCTTTTCGTTATCAACAGAAGTCACACAATTATCAATATAAAAGGATTTATTTAATTTCTGAGCAATAGAACTTTGTTCCTTTGGTACTTGTGCCAAATGAACTGAAATAACCGCTCCTAATAGAAAAGGGCTAGACTTTACTTACTCCAAAAACTACCCTCGTATGGCGGAAAACCTTCAGTACATTATCTTTCTTTCTCCCACCATAAAAATCTTAAAAAGTCCCTATCTTCTTTCCGTAATTCAATCTGTAAAAATGCACGCCGGATATCAGAGGTTACGCCAATGCATTTTTCTCTAAATCTTAACAAAATTGAAGGGATTTCTTCTATTAAATTTGGTCCTTTTACTAAGTAATCATTAAGGGAGGGCGATCTATTAACTTTACATGATGCGTCAAAAACAGGTCTTATCTTAGTTGAGACACTGTCTGGTTTAAATACTGGGTGATGCGGTAAGTAGTGCCCTTTATAATTCAGTTCATTGTCTGGTACTATTTCAATTACACCCTCCTCCATCCATTCATTAAAAATTCTATCATATTCTTCATATTTATGTAAAGACTTGAGTTTTCGGGTGACACTGAACAATCTTTTTTCTGCTACATGACGATTTGATGGCAATTCTGCGTTATATACTAACCAAGGTAATCCGACACAATAACGACCATCTTCGTTTCTGGAAAGAGAGTTTAAAAAATTGTTCGTGGGCAATTTCTTCCTCAGCAGCGTTAGTTGAATTCTGGTGAGCATCTAATATTCCGATCGTTTCTAAACTCCAAAGATCGGAGATTTTAAAGTCGTGACCCACTAAACTTGCACACAAAATGGAAGCATCTTTATCTTTGTGATTAACAAATTCCTCCGATACACCACAAACTGTCCAACCAAGTTTTTTGTACAAACTGCTGTTAGTCCTCCTTTTAATTGTTTTACTGATCCCGTGAGAATTTTTCCATAAATATCACTACCGATGAGCATTTCTATTTTTGGACAATCTGCTCCCAGATCCGACAACCAAATGTTGTTTCGTTTTAATTCTTTTAATATCGGACCCTTGGGTACCCGAGGTATATCCCCACATATTATGTCTTGATCTAAAAATTCAAATTCTAGATCTGAATACTTACGCGGACTGGCTGAACATAATTTTACCAAATATTTGTTATGCATCTTTGCCTCTGTTCTGGCACCTCCAAATAAAGTAAGAGCAACATTTTCTTTGGAAATAATTGGTAACCCCAATTCAGTGGCTAATGATTTCAAAATATACGATTTCTGGGAACCACAATCTAAGAGTACTCTAACATCTTTATGCTTTTTGACACCAGCTACTCTTACGCGTAAAGTCATTAAAGCTACGTCAGCGGTACAAGTTTGCCTGGCTGTAGCCGTATGTATGTTGTCTATTTCTGATTTTTCTGTAGGAAGTTCAGTTTCATTATTAATGTCCGGACACAAAATAACTGAGTGTGATTTACCACAAGCAAAACACCTAACAAACTGTTTACAGAACTTTGCCATATGATTTGGTTCCAAGCATTTTAAACAGCATTTTTTCTCCTTAACTTTAGAAATCCTTTCATTAAGAGATAATGAACGCGCATCGTAACAATTTTTACTATTACTATCATGCATTTTACCACAAAAAATACATGCATGTTCTCTGGTTGTAAGAAAACCTGTGGCAGTGGGAACATTTCCCTGTTTCTTAAATTTAAATTTACCTTTTGTTTCCCTCTTTGCTTTATCATGATATCCTTCTTTACGACTAACACCATCGAGTCCATTACGCGCCAATTTTAATCTCTCCTTCCGCCAATTTTAATCTCTCCTCACCCTCCACTTCAGACTTTAAAAATTTCATTAAGTTGGTAAGGCGAGAAAGATCAGTTCCTTCAGGCTGGTTAAAGAGCGAACTCCTTTGCCACGCCTTTAAAACATCCTCTGTGAGACACGATTCCACCATCGGAAATAACCACGATGTGTTTTCGCTCGATTTAAGACCTAAAGACTCTAAGGCTCTCAACTGAGCTTCAATTTTATCATACAGTTTATCAAGAGGTAATTTATCCTTTTGATCTGCCTTCACATTAGAAACAATTAATTTAATTAGTTCCCTAACATACACTTCTACTAATAATTCAGGTTTCCCAAAACGTTCCTTCAAAGCTAAAACAGCTTTATCATAATTTTCCGAAGTCACCGGATAGCTTTCAATGAATTCTTTAGCACGTGATCCGGGCTTCATACACTGAATCAAATAGGAAAATTTGTCACTTTCATATAAATCAGGGTCAGTGTGAATTTTCTCAAACTGCGACCAAAACGGTAACCAATTTATCAATTCCCCATCAAACTTCTTAAGTTCGATTTTCGGAAGTCTATACTGTTTAATCTTACTACAACAAATACCAGCACCATCATTTGGTCTTGTTTCTAAATTGATTTCATCTGAAAATTGCAATTTTTCATTAATTTGCCGAGTTAGTGTTATGAAATCATCAGAATACACCTCGCGACTTTCGATTTCTTTAGTAACATCATCCTCTAAAGTTTTTTCCCGTCTTCAGCTAACAAATCAAGAATTTTATCATCTACATTTTTTATATCTGAATATACATTTTGTAGTTTAGTAAGTTTATCTCGTACTAAATCTACAGAAAAATCTTCTTTTACTAATTCCGTTTTTAAAATATTAGCAGTTTTTGCAAAAGAAGTGCGTAAACCTGCCCGTTTAAGTTTCAGAGCCTTTAAAGCTTCCATAGTTAACTTTCAAAATAAAACAAACTTTCAAAATAAAACAAACTGCTTTACAAAAAATAGTTTCGAATTTAAACTTAATTATACTTTAATACATCAAAAACTATCTATAACCATTAAAATAATTTTTTTTAAAGTTTATTTCTTAGAGTCCTGTCACGGGACGCCACTTTTTTTGCTATTACTAAAACATAGTCTTATCATTAAATATCATTAAAATAAAAATACTTCCTTCACTCATCCCAGATACCGAGCAATCCAGAAAAACTAAAGACAAAACTTGCTCACTTACCTGGGTAGTGTGATGTTGAATCTGTAATAAAAACTCTAAGAAGTTGATTTATCTAATTATATTCTCTCTATACTACAAATATATACATTTTTTAACAATTGTCGGGAAATTTTTCTGGCCCCGAAAGTTATTACACATCTTAATCAGTTCACGTCACGACGTCGAAAGGGAAAAACACTTTTTTTCTTCCTACTTCAATGACAGCCAACGCCATCTGTGCCTCGTACATCAAATGAAGAGATTTGTTTAATTTGAATGAAATTTCAAACAACTAAGCACTCATTAATTGTTATTTGATCTAGACATAAATTTTGCAAAGAATATCGATTTCACAATCGTTTGTTAAACAGGGCCTCTTAGAGAATGTCAGGTACTCTTTGGAGTTCATTGTAGAGTGAAGTCTAACCTTGAATTTTATATTAGCCTTTGAAGTTCACCAACACCAGAATCAATAAGGTCTCGGAACGAAGTATCCTTTATCTGGCTCTTTTGTGCTGCAGACCCTGCGAATACAAAATATTAATTATTAAATTAATGATAAGTAATGATAATGAAGAAATTTCAAAGTGTGATGAAGTTATAATAAAGTAACACATTCAAACACAAAAATTGGGAAGAAAATTATTGTCTCGCTTGCCTCATCTAATCAGAGCAAGTCCACTAATTTTGTCATGGCAAGGAACGGAAGTTTGCGTCTATCTTTGGAATCGACCTTGATCACCATACAGTCGACACTATGACTTTGTCTAAGTTTGACCATATTTTTTAAGAGTATTTCAGAGAACAGGTTCATGTATCTCCCACCTTCTAATCCTACTGCCAATCCACGCAAAAGTACTTTCCATTTCCCGTGCGTTTTGCCACAAATCCGCGCCGACACTATGCGCTTAAAACTATTTATGCCTTCTCCGGAATATAAACCCGAGACCTATAAACAATACAACAGTCAGGAGCACCAAACCACTGTTGCGATCAGGCCGCTGCATAAAAATATTCATGAATATGTAAGACCACTTGCTTATCTCCTAAACGACAACTGTACGTGTAGTAAATTTGTGTAGAAACTACACAGGAGAAGGGTTAAAATTATCCTTTATTAAACTCCAAAATTCACAATGTGTCAGCTTAACGCTAAAACACTACGCCTCACTTGGAATCTCTCACTCCCTGGTTTTAAACCAGGGAGTGAGAGAACACCTCAAGGAAGTGCTTTGCATCGCCCAGGATTTTGCAGCAGCAGCACAGATCGGAATCTTGATGACCGAATCATTTTAAAAATGACAGCTTCCTGTAGCCAAAAACGGAACATATGCGAGAATTTATTGTGCGCTATTAAATTATTAAGTACCATAAATTGTGCAGTAATAATAATAATAATAAAATTAATAATTTTGAAATTAATAACTAACAATAATTATTAGCACACCTGTACGGGTTCTAAGCTACACTAAATGTCAGCTCCTTAAAGAGAGGCAGATGCATTATCTCCCTTAACTTTTGATCCTTTCCCGTCTAAACTATAATGAATACAATCTCATGTGTAGCTGTAAAAGAAACAGTTATTAACTGTTTATTAACAGTTCAGCTTGACTTTACACAAACTCTACAGTAAGATATATTTAATAGCTGTTGCGTAGCGGAAAACGTAAAATAAATTTTCAAGTCAAAATAAAGCATTAAAGCCCAAATTATTCAAGAAGAAAATGAGTTACTATCATAGTAGAAATAATTAAATTTTTAGAATATGCCAAAATATGGCAACTATGGGTATAAAATTTTTCAGTCATATCATGCATCTTTCATGAAAGCAACATAGACAGTTTAGTACGCGTTCCTTTTGTTGCATTCCGAGATCTAATGAATTTTATTGAGAGATCGCGATGTTTTTTTACTTCAAATCAATTTTAAAATATCACCTCTAAATATAACAGCAATGGGAAAAAGCGCGGCGAACGTAAGAATGACAAAAATGTATTAAACAAAACTGCAAATTAAAAAAAAAATAAGATTAATAAAGGAAAAAACAATTACGAAATATAATGCATTAATTACGAAATATAATGCATACATAAATCTATATGTATCTATCAATATCTCTTTTTGCATACACACACTATCTCTCTCTCTATATATATATAATCATTACTTTAAAGAAGAAAATAGAGTAATTACTTAATATGTAGCATAAAATTTAACACACTTCACCATAATAAAGTAAATTTAAGTACATGAAAGCGGAATAATATATTTTATCACATTTAAAATAACGCAAAAATATAATAATTATGCTTACATAATTAAAATAAAATTATTTTGTAATTGATATAAGCATATATTTAAAATGATAATATTACGTACAATTACTTTACTTTCCATCAAAAAATTTATTAATATTCATATTAATATAACTCTGTCAATTACAGAAGTCATAAAACATTTATTTTTAGTGGGAAAAGTTAGGAACTAGCTCAGCTGTGTTCATGCTCACACGGATTGGTTCACGGAAATTTTAAGCGCTTCAGTAAATGACATCGAGTTAACTAGACCTAAATTAAAAGCTGAAAAATCACTAACAAAATATCGGAAATATTATCTTATGCAAACAAACGTGAGGATTTTATTGTAAGACTTCCGGGATCAGAAGGATATAGTGTCTTTAAATAGGAAAATATACTCCTGCAGATTTAGTTAATGCTAAAAGCGAAGCAAAAATGTGAATCGCTTTATATCTTACAATAGGAAATCAATTTTATCAAGGTATGGAAATATTCTATTTATAAAGAAATCAAAAGAGAATAATTATTCATAGGAAATACCGCATCATAAATTAATAAAACTTGCTAGAAGTAATAACAAAACATCAAACGTTTCGCGTCAACTTGTTCAGTAAACTGAAGGCTGAGAGTAGCCACAACTATTTTTCGGACGTGTGATTTCGATTTACAGTTCCTTTGCTTGGCGTCAAATATGTTTCTGGCGGCAATCTATTCCATCACGGGCAATGATCATCGCAATTGACTCGTATGCCGGAGCCGCAGACATTAAAAACTCGTTTAAAGAGATATGCTTCCCTGCGTAGACCGCCTGGCGTTGAAGCCGCATACAAACAGAGGTAATTGTTCGGAGATATGTCTCCTTGTGTAGACGGGAATTTATACTATTAAAATCTATGCGGATCTGCCTATTTTTTTTGGGCATTATCTCCTGCAGTACGACGGAGAGTTGAATGTTGTTAGAGGTGCCCGCAGACTACATTCGTCGTAAGTGATTTCGACCATTCTCAGCTTGGTACAACTTTAATCATCCGAGATATTTATTAAAAACTCAGAAAAAGCTAACTTCTGCCCTAATTTGTTTCCGCGGGGCAATAGTCACGCACCCTGGAGATGAAAATCTGCTTTATTTCAAAATTTAGTAGCAGAGATTATTAATAAAATATTTTTATATTTTACAAAACGTGAAAGAAAAATAACATTGCTAAACATTACATATATTGATCTATAAGGTCATATTCTGACGCTGCAGAAAGTATGCGATTGCATGTGACGTCACTGTACGTCGAACATTTTTCCTTAATGTCGGGATTTTAAATAATCTATTGGAATCTCTACCCGTCTGTAGTTTCTTTGTTTGTTTACTTGTGGCATTTTATCCTCCTGAAAGTAGGAGGATTGTGTTTCAAGAGAGGGACCCGCGGATTCCAAAAATTCGTGGGAAGCTATTTCGACCCGTCTCATCTTCTTACGGTTTTAATGAGCCGACATGTTAAATAACAACTCTCATAACGCTAATTTTTGCACTCATATTTTCCGAGTGGCAACAGTTGCCCACGCTGGAGATAACAATATGTTTTATTTCGAAAGGTAGTGGGTGTCATTGATTGCTTTCAATGACAGAGCTTGCTAGTAAAAAATGTACGATTTGCAAAATATTAAATAAAAATAGCATTACCAACCATTAAGTATATTATTATTATATAAGGTCATATTCTGACATTGAAGAAAGTATGCGGATTGCGTGTGAAGCTATTGTGCGCCGAACATTTTTCGTCAATGTCAGCATTTTAAATAAGTAGTTTCTGTTGGAAACCTTTCTGCTTCAGGTTAGGATAGTGGAGAAGATATGTTACGGCCACGTTCATTCTTTTACTGATATTACGAAAACGCTATTATATTATATTATATTTAAATCATGACGTTATACGCGATCTAAAATGGTTTTGTTTTCTGGTTTCGCAAGAAAAAAAATTACTAATTGGTTGTTGCTCGGAAGAATAAACTGATTTTATTGATGTTCTTTTTTGAGTACAGTTTAAACTTTTAAAAGTATTTAATGTATTTTATTTGAGTTATAATTTTGGTACAGTATTATTTGTTTTTTATATTAAAATGCCAAAACGCAAAGAAGCATTACAAGACATGCATTAAGAATACGAAGAGCTGAAGCACAAAAGTTACGGCGAGCTATAGAAAATAAACAAAAAGCCACAAGGAAATAGAGCAGGAAAGAAGCACAGAAAGAAAATGTTCGTGCTCAAGAAACTGAAGAAGAAACGACTAGGATACTGACTAGGCAAGCACAATAGCAAAAACACTGAAAAAACTAAAGAAGAAACGGCGAAGGATACTCAGCAGGCAAACACATCGACGAGAAACCTTACGTTCCAAAGGAACTAAAGCAGAATAGGAATTTCATCGGACAAGCAGATAAACAAGTAAATGTGTACGCTTCAAAAAACTAAAGCAGAAACGAGTAGGAGGTTCATCAAACAACAGAAACTAACTGATGAAGAGAAAGAAGTTACAAGTAGAAGAAGGACACATGACTCTCAGAACCATCGCGAGATTCGAGTAAAAGAATTAGAACAAGATGCCAGTAAGCGACGAATGCAAGACGTTTCACAAACCGATCTGAAGAAACAATGGCTATACGAGGAGAAAGGCTTCGCATGAACACGACATTTACACGACATTTACCTAGCACTCTTCATAATGCAGAAAAATATGGACTGAATGTTTACGTTGTGCAGCACGATGTCGATTCATTGGACGCTTGTTGCGATCTCTACAATGGACTGTAGAAATGAACACGGAAGACACGTGCACTGCTGTCACAATGGGCAAATTTTAGAAGCTAAAACAAGATATTCAGAAGAATGGCGTAATGTAATGAATAGGAACCACCAATTTTCTTACGGGCTTTTGCTTACATACGTACTGATAACTGTCTTCTTAGATTTGTATCTCTGAGTGCCAATATAGAAATGCCTACAGTTTCAGATCCCTATTGTTATTTCATAAAATATGGCTATTCATGGTGCCATATTTTATCAAGCGAACCCATTCATCCACCTCATCCTGATCACAAATAGCATGAACATCGCTATGTTAAATTTGCACAAGCCCTCAGGCTGAGAATGAATAGACTTGGAAATGTTGCTATGAATCCTGAACTTCTGGCACATCTGGATGTAGTTTTAAGTAATGTGAATACATATGAAGAA